ATGGTGGTTGGTGGGTGTGTAGAAGGGGTGGATAATTACGTTGATTAGCTAATGGGCCTGAAATGTGTGAATGCTTAAACGTTCTTCATTTCACCAACGTGATTCCCAGCGCGCTCTTTGTGATGGAGGTAGTGAACGTTACCCACATAATAGACATGCATGGTCATGCAGGCTTCTCACACCTCTTTCCAAAATTGGGTTTGAAGTAAGGCTTGCTGATTTACGGCCTCCTTTAATAAGTAACACGGTCCGCATCAAAAGCACTGAACCCACACATTTGTTTGGGGCAAATATCACTTTAATCCTTGTGAAAGAATTTATGAGAAAATGCGCTTGTTCTTAAAAATTGTTTTTGATTATTATATTCGAAGATATCACTATAATTTGGCATGGCGTAGCACTTCACAGAAGTATTTCGTCCTCATCTTTTTATGTTTATTTTGAAACATGAATCACGAAGAGCCTCTCCGCCACCAGCCTTTTCCCATCCTCCGATCAGTCGACCTGGCCAAACTTCAAACGCCTTAGGAAGCAGTTAGCTCTTAAAAATATGTTTCCACCTAAACTGCGACGAATTTTATTTGTCTCAGAGCAATGCTGAAGGATATAGAGTTCTCACAACCTGTTTTTGGTGTTTTATCTCATGCGATTACCACAGAATACGTAAAAGATCGCATTTTTGGGAGTTTCGCATTTAGCCGTTTGTGGTGTAGTTTAATAAACCAACAAACACTGACAGTAAGAAAAAAGAATTGACATGGAAAGTAATTCGCTTATTTATGAATGCAGGGAGATAATGGCATAACAGGCGATTAGCCAACCCACAATATCGCATCAATGTGGAGGGGATAAAACTGACAGCACCATCACACCTTTGCCTGCACAGTTATAATAACGCTTTGGGAGACGGGAAAGCTAAAAATCCCCATGAGATGCAAGGGTAGTTCATTAAAATAAATAAAAATGTTTTGGTTTCACATTTATCATGCCATGGATGCTTTGAGCCCCCTGCCTCCCTGCTTTGGTCCACTTTGCGTTGTGTTGGAGCATTGTCCATTAAACCCTTTCACAAATAGGCCATCAAATTGACAACCACCTTATCTTCTCTAAGGAAACGCCTACATTTGGGAAGTGTTGACTCTTAAGACCCTTTTTGCTAACGCCCTTTGTTTTTTTTATAAAAATGGCTCTTAAGGCCTAAAATATTGCGATTTAAGGTAACAAAGACTCGTAAGAACAGGTTCAAAGACTAATTACTGAGATGTAATTGCAGTTTGGTGATCACGAGAGTCGCCGATCCTGATTTATGGGTACATAAGCAGCTCATGGCTTAATATAGGAAAAATAGGAAAAAAAGTAAGGAAAGAGCGGTATTAGAGGACTGTCGATGGATACTGGATGGATAAACGGCTGGATGGACTGGTGGAGGGATGGATACGGGATGGATGGATATGAGGTGGGTAGACAAATTGAGAGAAATGTACTCTCTTTTTTTCTAGCAAAATCATTTGTCCTACCCCAGTTTCTTGATATAACAAGTCCACTTTTAGGGGTAAAATTGTTCTGCTTGTTAGTGTTTTAACACACCGTCCGCTAAAAGGTGCGGTTTTCAGCCACACCCCTGCTAGCCAAGTGCTTTTGCTTCTCAAGCTGTCTGCACGCTGGAAACAGCTGGCAAACAGCAGCATATTCTTTACATTCTTCAAAACTCCTTCAATTTGAAGCAAGTTGAGGATAAGCTTTGGATCTGGGTCATGAAAGTCGAGTGCTTTGCACTTGACGAGTTCGATATATTGTCAGCCTGTGTATGTTTGCAGTGACTTGAGTCGTTATGTCAAATTAGGTCAAAAAATTGGACAAAAACATGGCTTTGTGTTAATCAAAATAAGTTTCCGGTTAACAGACATTACCAATTAGATGCAGATGCATGACACAAGTCAGTGACCACTACATTCAGCTGCTACAGTTCAAGTATCTACTAACTTTCTTAGCTATAGCAATATTTGATGATCTTTGTCTCATTTTTAGTACAACATGAAGATTGTTAAACTGTTTATGTTGCTGATAGCGCTAATCAGTAGTATTTTCGTTCGATCCGAATTAAGTGGCTCTCTGCCTTCCTGCAGTACTCCACACCAGTAAGGAAGCAATTTGTAGTCCTTTAAATCTGTCGAATATTCTTTACTTATTTCCACATAAAATTGACTGAAACGATTCCGCAAGTAAGAGTAGAGATTCTCAGATGTCTTTTAAGGGTTATTAAGAAAACCCTCCTGTTCTCCACGGAATGGAAGCTATTTTGATCCACTTTTACCTGCCTGCTATTTTCAGCGATTGCTCTTCAAAGTCGATCATTTCTACGAGATTCAAGACAAAAATAAATATTGGCATTAAATTTGGAGCAGTCATATCCATGGTCGACATTAATGTGCTCACCTTTGGATTTCTGTTAGAACGGTACATTTCTGCGGTTCATTGTCCCACGACAAGCCCAGTTTTCATGCCAACTGCCTAGCATAGGCAAATTTATATGAAAGCAGGACCACTTGATCTAATGCAAAGCGTGATGATGTCTTTTAAAGTCCTCTCTGATTTCCCTCTTCATCTACTCTTCATTGATCATCCTCACCCCATCTGACCCCTCCTCCGTTATGAGTGGCCGCAGACTCACCCATTCCTCCATATTATGTACCATGATTTTAGGCAAAAGTGATTTAATAAGCATCTGCGGCTCTAAAGGCAGGCAACACACCGTTTTTTCCGTTCCAAGACACATGTGTCCGAAGGTGGCTTAGAAGAGTCAGTAAAATCCAACACGGAGTAAAAGCCTTGGAAGCATTAATGTTCTGGCGTTACATGCAAATAAACTGAAATTTGCATGCATAGTACAATAATATTCAACAGTGAGGATTTCTTCTTCACAATTTTCTACACTATTTACCTTTTTTGTGAGTGGTAGAAATGTCATAAACAGTTTGACCTTTTCACCTGTCTTGCATTTCAAAATTTCGAGGCTTGAGCCATCTACTCTGAAACCAAATACAACAGCTGCTTTTTCACTTAAAGAAGGTGGCTTTGTCAAGCAAAAGACGAGTGAATTAGTTGCTTTAGTGGGGCTTTGACTTTTTGTTCCCTTTTGCATTAAAAAGTGGAGAGAAGGTGAAGACTGCTTAAAACGCCGCATCTTGGAACAACAAACCATTCAAAATGTCCACAAATGGATAGCTAGAATAAATATTTCGCAGAAAATTTGGCGTAAAATTGCCGTTGCTGGCATAACTGGGGCTAGAGAGCTATTAGCATACCTGACACATGCATGTGCTGTCCCCATTTTCCTATCTAGGACCTACGTCACAAATATGTGACAAGCATAATTTATCAGATTCATGTAATAGATTATTGTACTGAGTTCTTGGCATAGGTATAATTGGGTTTTTTTAAAATTAAATAGCAGTATATGGACTGAAGGTATGATAGAGCAATGAAACATTTCCACTGCGGTGGCTGATTTTCCTCTGTGACTCTGTTAGCAAACATCACCAAAGTGCCTTCAAGGAAGGGCTGGCACTGCATGTTTCAAAAGTTGTAAAATTAAGGTAGGTAGGTGTTTTATTTACTGTCCAACTCACTATACTGTGTAATGCACCTTCCTCATCATTCAAAAACCGATGGATCTTTTACTACATCGAGAATATCCAAGAAGGAGCTTTAACGGGGAAATGAGCTCCTAATTGTCAGGCCCTTCAAAGGCAGCAGAAATATACAGATCTGGGTTAACTCCCTTAGAAAACACAAACCGGGAGGATATGATAATTGTTTTATTAGTAACATAAAGAAGTGGAAGACTGATGACATGAGTGGGACCTCGTGATGTCGGCGAGGAGGCAGAATCGAAAGAGACAGACAAAGCCAGCGGAGTAACCGAGGCAATTGTAGACAAGCATTATTCTACTACATTGGAGCTAGACAATGGAGCTCAAATTCTCTTGTCCATTAATCCGATTTGCAGGACGTCAACGACGCGACAAGTGGGGATTTGGTTCAGATGGCGTTGGTAATGCAATAATCTCCTTCCAGTCTGTAGATGTAGAATCAGGAAATAGATTGATGCAATTTACCATCTATTTGTACACAGAGATATGATTGATGGCCTTTTTGTCATGCTTTTTATGACTAGGTGTACTAATAACCTTTCCATTTTTACCGAATGAAGAAGCTCCCAAAGAACGCATATACAAAACTTGCTACATATATAAATTTCGGTCCCAAAGAGCATAATAAGCTATCCTTAGGAAGTACTTACGCACCTGTTTTGCACGCCTTGTATGCATTTATTTGTAAAACTGCATTTAAAAAATGAAAGTTTTGGTTAAGTGTTTGCCACTTGGTGTCACATATATGTGACGGTCAGGTTTTCTTCCCCAGTCCCTGAGTCAGAAACATGTGGCAAGTGTTCTTTTCAAGCTTGTGATAGTTGATAAAAGCTGATAAAATAAGTCCAAAAT